ATAATTTCGCAATAAAAGGAATTTTAATCGATTGAAATTCGCCTTATAATAGGATAAGTTTATTGCTATTTCTATTTCCATTAGAATACGTACATCTAAAGCAGTATCCTGATTGGCTCATTGCCTTAAGTTTACGTCTTAAGATTACTGTTAGTTGGAATCAGATTATGCATTAAAAATTGAGATTAAAGATTGAAATTTTACCAATGAGGACAAAGAAGTTTTAACTTCTTTTGTTCTGATTAGTCAAACTTTAATCTTTCAATTTTCAATCTTATTCTTCAATGTGTAGTTTGATTCTGGCCTAACAGAAATTTTGTCTGCGGCATTATATTGGTCGTAAGTCTAGATCTACAATAGGTGTTTTAAGTTTTAAGGCGTAAGAAATTGACTAATGTAAGAAACAACCAACTACAGTCGAATGCAAGGAGAATAAGTAATTGTGATTCGTCTATTCATTACGGCTTAAGGCTTCAAAATCTATTATAGATCCGAGGTAACCGTATGCCGTAATTTGTAAAAATTGATCAATCACTTTCAAGTATTCCCTTCTTACTGTCAAATGAAAAGGAAATACCTGACTGTGATTAATCAATTCTTACAGATTACAGCATACGGTTACGGTCAATATAAACGCTTCCTTTAGCGAAAAATAAATCATGTAATCAAAATTGACGCTTAATATTCGCCAATTTTTATTACGTGATCTGTTTTGACGTTAAAAATAACCGTCGAGAGTCAGTATAAAAAGGCACCTTAATGACTACTGCACACTCGATATTAATTATGACTGTGTTCCAAAATTCACTAACTAAATGCGCTGAAAATCTACAGTTTATGTATATTGTACATTTTCAGCACTGACAGTAAATTTTGGAACATAGCCGATGTATCTTTTTCCCTAAAGCGAAAATGTGAAAATTTTTTGTATGATGTGTGTATATGTACAATGCGTACATACAAAAAATTTTCACTTTCACATTTTTGCTCTAGAGAAAAAGTTACATAATCGATATCTATAACCTCTATTCTTGAAAAGTATTGCATCCGTTCCGCTGTAAATTTCCGCTCATGGGACACTAGCCTTAGGGTAAAATGAAGAAAAGAGCTGGAGAATGCGTGGAAACAATATTCGAAATAACGCAGACTAACGCTGATTAGTTGCTTCTATGACGTATTCTCTATTCCGCAGTCGTTTTCCGCACTGTGCGATTTTACCCTTAGGGTGTCTCCGCATGTAGCGGAATAGCGTAACGAAGAACAAGAGCAGAACCAATCACAAGCGTTCCACCAACTGCAATTGATGCCATTAAAATATCTATTGTAGATCTAAACTAAAGTGAATGAAATTTATATGCGTCGCATGTTCAAACATGTTTGAATGTACTCCTACCATAGCTTCAATGCACTTCTTGGAGTAAGTACGGATCTACAATAGATGATTTATGCCCGTATTCATAGTCAGACCTTGTACTTAAGGCTTCCTTAAATTTATCTTTAGATGCTCAGTAGCTAATGAAATAATTTGTAGAGTATCTGAAGATAAATTTAAGAAAGCTGTAAATATAAGGCCTGACTATGAATATGGGTATTAAGTCTTAAGCCATAATAAACTGACCAATTATAGCCAAATGCGAGAAGAATAAGTTGCCATACTATCTCTATTTTAGATTTACACGATGACGATTCCGTTTTTATAAAATATTTGTATGTATATAAAAATATCTTTTACAGAGACATACGTATAATGTGACATTTATATTAACTTTTCATTACTTGCGTGGAGTTCAAGAAAACGAAAAATGATGGTTTATAAGTTCCCCATCTTATTCATAAATTCATTAAATGTATGAATGCTATTTATACATACATAGTATTATATTTAATTCAAATTGTTTTACAATTTACAAAAAAATTTTTTATTTATTTTTATCTAAAAGACACAAAAAATATTATCAATCTTTATTTAATTGTGAATCATCAAAGAGAATAATGAAAATTAAAATATAATGTTGGGACGTTAGAAACATCCCACGCGAGTAATATAGGATTAATCCAAAAATATTGTCTAATTTTTTTACGTAAATGATCATTTGAGGTGCTTTAGCTCTAATTAAAATCATTTTCATTAACAACATATTCGATTGTGATTCGTTCATTTCTTATGGCTTAAGGCTTAAAAATCTATTGTAGATCCTGGCTAACTCCGGATTTATAATAGATGTTTTAAGCCTTAAGTCATAAGAAACCGAATTTGAAAAGAATAAACGATTATAATTCGTCCATTTCTTATGTTTAAGACTTAGAACTCTATTGCAGATCCGGGGCAAAGCATGGCCGTACTGCTCCAATTGGTTGGAGCAGTACTACTAGATCAACAGCAATCAATAAGACTTTAGTAAATTGAGAAAAAACATTCAACCATTTATCTGTCTCTCGCTCTACTCTGTTTCTACCCCCACCACTGTCATTGGTGGTCCATTCTATATGTCGATACGTGGTCTACAATAGAATACAACAAAGTCATGTTAAAATAAACCTTTTTATTTTGATTAGCAACTGGCTGATCTCACAAAAGCTGTTCCATTAAAGTACATTTTCACGAACCACTTTAATCGTTTCAGCGACAAAAAGACTCACGTGGTCAAAATGAACGAATAACAATCAATTTAGGTCATGTGATCCTTTTTGATGCTGAAACGATCAGTTTGAACGGCTCGTGAAAATATACCTTAAGGCTAATAT